TGCTAATACACATAGAACCCAGTGTAAAACTGTTTTATACCCTGCGATCTTGATATAGTGACCAGGATATAGAAGGGTTTATATGTCTTAAAAATAATCATAAAAAATAACCAAATAATTTATAAAAAGTTAATTAGTAAAAGGTTGACTTTTCCAATGCGTAAATAACTATCGAGATGTAAGTCAATATAACTAGTCTATAGAAATTACATCTTATGTGGATAGTTTTAATTTTAAAATTACATTGCCACAAGTTTTAATAAATTTTGAAATTAAAAACTTATTATTTTTAAGCTTATCAAGAATTCGTATCGAAAATCTTGCATTTATAGAGGTATTTTGTATTTAGGGAGGTAAAAATCTATGTGTTATATGAGTTGGGACAAAATAAGGCCATGCATTTAGAGAGGTCTTTCGTAGGCTATGCATTTAGAGAATATGCATTTAGGGAGGTTGACTGTTATTACAATATTGTATTAAGATAAAGTGTAAAGTAGAAAAAAACTACTTTATTTACGGTGTTACAAATTCACAAGACAATAAAATAGTTTTGTTATAGTAGACGTGTTAGAAGTTATTAATAAAAGAGTCCGAATTTTGTAATATTTGATCATATTAAATAAATATCATTGGAGATATCATCGGAAGGCATTTTATATGTAATATTTATTAACTATTAAATATCAGTACAGTCAATTATGGGTATAGCTGAACTTTGGAACTGTTTAAAAAATACGTCACATGGTTTTTTTTCGCTAATATACTGTACATTGCAAGGATTTATAAATTTAAATATATATATGTTCGTTATATCCATCATTGACTGTATATGAGAAAATATTTATTGTCAACAATGATATGTAGTCAACATTTACGAAGTTATTAGAATTCGATATAAACATAAACCACCCAGTTCATTATATGGGATGTCTCGTATTAATTATTTCTAGCAAACTTTTTTAATGAATATATAAAAAAAAGAATTTTGAAAAATTGTCAAAATGGGCCTTTTTAATACGAGGCACTCTATATTAGGTAGGTCGTAAAGTTTTAAAGATTCCAAAATTTAATTAAGAGTTTTATTATATTGCAAAACTAGTGTACTACAGAAGTTATTCTCTGCATATTCATATTTTCAGCAATAATTTTCTTTACCAAATCTATATTATTGTCCGCTTCTACGGTAAAAGTGTTTTCCTCGTTATTTGGCTCTTCCAAATCTTTAAACTGTGATTCTAGCATATCCATTTTCATGAAATGATTTTTTCGTTGTTGTAATCTTTCTTTTAATATTTGTTTGTTAACTTTTAAATAAACGAACCAAACAATAATATTTTTCTCGATAAAATTTTTTCTCAAAAAATTACGATAATCAATTTTTAACGCCGAACACGATACTGAAATAGATGGTGAATCTTTTGCATTTGCTAATGTTATGACTTTATCTATAATGGCTTGTAACCATGGATAACGGTCTGAATCTTCAAGCGGAATTTTTGATTCCATTTTTTTGATATTTGATTCCGGATGTAGTTCGTCACCTTCGACAAAGGGAATATTCAGTTCTTGAGAAATTAGCTTTCCAAAAAAAGATTTGCCACATCCGCATGGGCCCTTTATAAGTTATAATTAACATTTCTTAATATTTTTGTAAGTTATAATTAATATTCTTAATATTACAATAATGCGTTCAAATTAATTTACGTAGTTGTTTAACGTCAATATTTTGGGCGGACTAAATCTCATTGGTCAACTTTAATGCATGATTGAATATTGTTTTGTGGCTTGTTTAATTTGTTTAATTTAGGGAAATGACGTTAAACAACTATTCAGCTTAAAGTGTTAATTTTTTACCATCAAGACGAATACATGAGTTTGACTTGGATCGAAATATCGAGCAACCTTCGACATTTTTTTTTAATGGATGTGTGCACCTTGTAAAAAGATTTGAGTCTTAATACGAAACAAATATATGCAGGTGACCGGTTACACAAGTTTTGTAGATCGGTTACAATTGCCTTTATATCGAAATGGTT